TCTCTGCTTCTTTCTGTATGTCTGCTTCTGTATCCTTGAGCCTCAGTCGGCCTCAACAGATGGCTGCTACAAGCTCGCTTAGTGTGAGGGATTGCCTATGAGTCAATGAGTCGATAGTGGTTTTTCTTTGTTAAAAAACTTTGAATCAATTTGACTGTATGACCTGCTTGAATTGTTAAGTGCTTGAGATGACGTTTGTTGTGAATTGGCGCAATAGAAATAAACTGAACTGAATTAAAACTGCACCCGACTAAGATGGCCCAGGCTTCATTATACAAGGGAGAATGTTACACGCTTCTTATCTGCATCGTCTCACCAATTTCAGTGGGCAAATCTTCCCCATAACCTATTGTTAAATTTGTATGGTCTTAAATGTTAGATATAATGTGCATTCAAGACATTAGTTTTATGCTGTAACTGGTTTTAAGCAAACTATATGACCTTTAGGAAACTGACTGCACTTCTAAGACTCTTTCATCTAAAAAAACATGTAAAGAATTAATAAAAAAAAAAAGAGGGAGTTTCACAAAATACAGCAAACAAGGTTGACACAAACATCCTCTGAATAATTGGTGTCTGTTCTTATAATTATGTTTGAGTCACATTCAAACAATGTCCAATTGTCCCATCTTTCATTTTTAAACCATCTGTCCAGCTGGCAGCCCACCAGTAAATATTACACTTACAATTTTCATTCAATGTTTCTATTCAGTTGAATAAAAACATTATCAGTATAATTCATTAATGAAAAGTAAATCTGAATAAATTAAATGCATCATTTGATGAAACAAGTACGTTACTTTCATTTTGCTAAAGCTAATTAATCTTTAATAAAAAACACTGATTACTGATCCGGCCAGTCTTGACTTGTTTATGAAAAGGTAGAGACTGAAAAACTCATGGAACAGACCTATTAACTTTGCTTGAATAATTTAAGTTGTGAATCTCTACCTCAGTCTGTATGTTGGGGACTGATCCCGTGTTGCCATTGGCGATCGCTGTGTTGGAACTGTTGGGACTGCTGGGACCTGAACCTGGAGCGCTATTACAGAGGGTGGAAACTAGGACAGAAATCGAGAAAATGGTTTCAAGTCGCTTTTCAGGCTTTGGTGGTTTGTTCGTCTTCTCTACTTTAGAAAGAAAGAAGTCTTTGCTTACCTGATATCTCAATGGCCCTTTTCTTGAAGGCGCTGATGACGGTTCCGTCCTTCCTGCGCAGGAGCGGGGAGCTACGCCTCTCAGCCACTTTTTGCTTCAACCTGGAGCGGACCTTCAGATTCGGCTCCGAGACTGAACAAGTCCGACATAGAGAGATGGCGACAAAGGGACTGTCTGTAGAACTTTTTCAGATTTCAAATATTGCTGAACATTTCATTTGGTAGTTTGGGAATTTCAACCATCACTGAAGCCTGCAAAGTAAATCCTCAGTCGTGAGGATTTTAGAGATGATGGTAGTAGAAAATACTATGAGTATTTCAATATTTTCCAGACCATGTTTTCCAGATGAAAAATATTGATCTGTAAAACATTTTACTATCATGTAACTATGGAGAGTGGTGAGTGCTGGCAATGCACTACATAAATTTGTTAAGACTGTGATCCTGGTGAAGACTGGCAGTCATCCAGGTCATAGTCATTCCATAAACATTAAAAAACAATCCACTGGACTTTGTTTCCAAGTTCTAAGGCATTTTGCTTCCCATCCAAGAAGCTTTTTCAATTAATAATGTTAGAAATAGTGCTGAGTTCAGTAGCCCAACAAACGGCCGGACGAACGGGTCCAACCCTTTGAAACGGGGGTCGTTTAGCTTCTTTGTTAGCCGGCAAAGCCCCATACCAGTCTATATCGCTGAAAGGCGGGTCGTTCCTGGATGGGAAGTGAAATGTCCTCAAACTTGGAAACAAAGTTCAGTGGGTTTTTTTTATTTTTTATTTTTTTGGAATGACTATGTCCTGGAAGACTGAGAATCTTCACCAGCACAAAGCACACTTATGTTTTAATAAATTAGCATGGATCTTTTTTGGTTTGCAACAGGGGTGTCAGGTAACAAAGCAGAAATACTTTGTTACCTTAAGTAGAAATTTTGGCTATCTATACTTTACTGGAGACAACTTTTTACTTCTACTCCTCACATCTTTTTCAATTTCCTCAAATTTCTACTCCTTACGTTTCAAAAACAGACTTGTTATTTTTGTTTCTTTTAAGATAATTTTCATTATGGCCTGTTGGTATGTTGTTAAAACATCCAAATAATTTATATCAGCCAGACAATTTCTTTAGGGTTGGACTTGGTGCAGGACCGACTTGTTGTTTGCCACATTTATGCTGCAAAGTTACATTTGAGACTATTACCAATAGTTATAAAGCTTTGAATATTAAGTTTAAGCAAGTTGTCATCTAGAATTGCAGAAAAATTATCCTTTAAATAATCTCTCCTTAAAGTTTTTTCCTGCATTACTTTTACATTTTTACTTTAGGTAGTTTTAAAAGGTGTACTTTTACACTTTTGAGTAAAAATCTTAAGTTCTACAAAAGTTTTTTTAAACAGTAGGATTTATACTTCTACTTGAGTGATAAACATAATAAATCATTAATAAACATAATACTTTTGACACCTATGGTTTGCAATATACCAGGTATGGAATATGATGTTTACATTTTTTTCCAGTGCAATAAAGGGAACACTGAAATAACACATCATAAATATTCTTCTTGAATACTTTGTTGAATGTGCTGAAAACAAAATTACACAAAAATCATGAAAGGAAATCAAAGCAGAAAAAAAATTCAGGCTGATCCAACTTTGACATAATGCCCTTAAAACTGGTCAAAATGAGGCTCAGTACCGTGCGTGGCCTCCATGTGGCTGGATAAGCTGCCTATAACCGCTGGGCATGCTCCTGATGAAATGTACTCAGTCAGATTCAGGTCTGGGTAACATGCAAGCCAGTCCAGTTCAATGACTTTGTGTTACAGGAACTGCTGACACACTCCAGCCACATCATGTCTAGCTTTGTCCTGCATTAGGAGGAACCCAGGGCCAACTGCAACAGCATATGGTCTTAGAAGGGTCTGAGGATCTCATGTCGGTACCTAATGGGAGTCATGCTACCTCTGGCGAGCACATGGAAGGCTGTATGAAATGCCTCCTCACACCCTTACTGTCCCCCTGCCAAACCGGACATGCTAAAGGATGTTGCAGGCAGCATATCGCTCTGTAGGGTAGCTCCAGACACTGCTACGTCTGTCACATGTGCTTAGTGAGAATGTGCTTTCATCTTTGAAGAGCACAGGGAGCAGGTGATGAATTTGCCAACTGGTGTTCTATGGCAAATGCCAAGCGCCCTGCACGGTTTTGGGCTGTGAGCACAAGCCCTATCTGTGGAGTTCATTTTGCAGGGGTCTAGCAGTGCTCCTCCTGTTCCTCCTTGTACAGACGTGGAGGTAGCAGTCCTGCTGCTGGGTAGCTGCCCTCTTACAGCTTCCTCCATGTCTCCTGGTGTACTGGCCTTTCTCTTGGTAGCGCCTCATGTCTCTGAACACTACGCTGATGGACACAGCAAACCTTCTTGCCACAGCTCTGTGCCATCCTGGACAAGCTGCACTACCTAAGCCATGTGTGTGAGTTGTAGAGTCTGCCTCATGCTGCCGGGGAGGGTGAAAGAACCACAAACATTCAAAAATGGCCAAAAAGAAATGGCCAAAACATCAGCCGTAATGAGAAGTGATCTGTGGTCCCCACCTGCAGGACTCATTTGAGAGTGTCTTGCTAATTACCAATAATTTCCATTTGCTTACACTTATTGGTAATCAATGTCAAATGCTGTTTAGCATTTGACATTGATTACCAATAAGTGTCTTAATAAGTGGACAGTTTGATTTCACAGAAGTTTGATTTAACTTAATTTTATTTTCTGAGCAGTGCATTCATCAAATTTTAGGTGCCAAATCTTTACTCATTGTTATATGAATTTTTGCATTGATGGAGCAAGATTTAAGTTCACTTAACTCTGACAGTATACTGGCAATTTTATTGCTAAAAAGACAGTTTTACATTTCGAATAATCAAATTACAAATATCAACTTAAAAATATTGCGATATCTGTTTTTCGTCCACATCATTTCCAGTGGCAGCCATTCAAAATGGCTCTTCCCAGCCAAATGGCAGCCCACTTCCCTCCAACTCCCAGCGAAATCCCCACCAACTTCCAGCCACTGGAGTGACCCCCATCTTGCATCTTTTTTTACTGACTCTACCCTGACCTGGAGATCACGGTTCTCTTTAGATCTATATGTTCACAAATCGTGACAGAAAGAATATTTTAGTACAAAGATTAATGTTTAAAAAGGAATTAAAGGGGACCAGCCAAGGGTCCATCAAGGAAAGTGGATACATTTTGAATGGCTTCTACTGTTTCCTCACCAAATGACTCAACTTTTTCACGTTAAAAAGCATGACACAGGAACAGATCTGTTCTGAGTAGTCTGCTACATGTCATCACAACAGCTGCTCTCTTGCAGCAAAGGACAGTGGGACTGTTCATTTGTCAATCATGGCATTGAGTTGTTAAATCTCTACATTGTGTTTGGATGCACTTTGTTGTCAGTCGTGTTAAAGAAACGGTGTTAGCTCAAACAGGAGCATTGTGACATTACAGTCTGAATGAGCAGTGTTCACCTGTGCAAGAAATAAGGCAACTTTTTGATGTTTATAAAGAACTCAAAATAAAAACTGCTTTCTGCGCTTCTCACCCGTCTTTCTGAGAGGGAAGTCATCTTTACCCTCATAGTTGCCGAGCAGAGAGGGGAGTTTATAGGAGGGAGGGGTTCCGGGGGTGTTACTCTGAGGTGGAGAGCTCTGCTCCAATGAGGTGTGCTGGCCTCCCCTGCAGTTACAAACACACACATTAGATATCAGCTAACCAATGTCTTTATTTTCATTCAGAGGCTTTGTTTTTGATTTCTAAAGTTAATCTTTTGCTAAAAAAAAACAAACAAAAAAAAACAATATTCTGCTATTATATGAATGAGATTAATTCCACCACGTGTCTCTTCCCATCAATTTCTTCCTGCAATGAAATAAAAGCTTAAAGGGTTTAGGAAAAAGCTTCTGACATGTTAAGAAGATCCACCTATCAGTTTCAGGCCAGAAGCTG